TGTCTTCTCTAAGCCTAAGATTGCACTATATCAATTTTGCACTATTTGTAAGTCCTGAGGACAGGTGGTTAACTTTCCTCTAATCAAATCCCAGTAAGCTTTTCCTTTTATGATCTTGGCTCAAATTATATGCAGAAATACCAAAGGTGAACCTCTTTCCTAAAAAATCTTCCACGAAATTATGAGAGAACTCCTTAAGATTGATTATTCCTTTCATACCTCCCTGTTTTTCCAACCCTATGGGGTGGTGATTCATTGAGAGTAATGATGTTGGCTTCCTCTTCGCTTTTTATGTTTCCACATCCATTGAGGTTTATCTTCAAGTTCAATCTCGTCCACTAACTCGCATCCATCAGGCTGGTTGTGCTCGTCTGTTGTCTAATAGCCAACCACTCAAGGTTCTGTTCGGTGCATCGTAAAACAACGGGGGAATACGGCTTTTACGAGTTGACTAATCCATACTGCACTATAACATTTCGTAACTTTTACTTCATGATTGGGAAGAACAATAGGAATAGCAACACTCATGACGCAACATATTTCATAGCTGGTTACGCATACGGTAATTTTAGCACCACCTCCTGTGAGCGATATCTCGTGGAGTTGGAATTCAACTGAAAATGAGGGTAATCGTATCGTCTTAACGTGGATTTATGGATCGCCTACCCAGATGATAGAGGATGGTAAGAAAGAAAATTCTAATATTGCTGTCCCTTTGAAACTTTCACAAATTTTGAGGATCTCGTGTGGAACGTCGCGACTCTATCCAACCAATAGTGACCGCATTTCCAAGAATGGTTCATTTTGATATTGCTGTAAATCCACTTGTAACAGCATCACAATATCAATGCCAATTTCTGGATGGACAAAGACGTGTTGTAACTTGGGTAAGTTGTGACCCTATATTCAGCAAAATGAAATGGTTGGCAATATGGGAAATTTCTGTTTAAAGTGGATGTAATAGCTGTCTTTGATCTACCAGTATAGGAATTTCTCAAATGCGAAAATAGCTATGGACTTATTCTTACAATTACGGACAGGATCCATGAGTTGAAACTCTTTATACAGAAGAAAATTGTATCTAGGCTTCTATCGCTGTTACTCTGGGTTGTGTATGCTTTCATACTCATCCTCAGAGAATAACATCATACGTTTTCGTAAAACTT